TCATCCACTGAGAACCCTGTGGGCACAGTTCTCCTCTGACTCACACAAGGGGCACCATGAGTGGGATCTACTTATGGAAAATCATCCACTGAGAACACTGTGGGGCACAGTTCTATGCTGACACACACAGGACACCATGAGGGGAATCTACTTATGAAAAATCATCCACTGAGAACACGGTGGGCATAGTTCTACTCTGACACACATGGGGGCACCATGAGTGGGATCTACTTATGAAAAATCATCCACTGAGAACACTGTGGGCGCAGTTCTACTCTGACACACACGGGGCACCAAGAGTGGAATCTACTTATGAAAAATCATCCACTGAGAACACGGTGGGGCACAGTTCTATGCTGACACACACAGGGCACCATGAGGGGAATCTACTTACGAAAACTCATCCACTGAGAATCCTGTGGGGCACAGTTCTACTCTGACACACACGGGGGCACCATGAGTGGAATCTACTTATGAAGAATCATCCACTGAGAACACTGTGGGCGCAGTTCTACTCTGACATACACGGGGGCGCCATGAGTGCGATCTACTTATGAAAATCATCCACTGAGAACCCTGTGGGCACAGTTCTACTCTGACACACACGGGGGCACCATGAGTGGAATCTACTTATGAAAATCATTCACTGAGAACCCTGTGGGGCACAGTTCTACTCTGATACACACGGGGCACCATGAGTGCGATTTACTTATGAAAATCATTCACTGAGAACCCTGTGGGCACAGTTCTACTCTGACACATGTGATACCATGAATCAGGGTTGACTCAAAGGCAACAGGAAACTGGAAATATGGATATGACCTTACTGGGAATCCTGGTGTGGCACTGTGGGTTAATGCGCTAGACTGAAAAGTAGGTTTGAACCACAAGGTTGATGATTCAGGTTACCCATCCACTATTACCAAACAGGGTCACGCATCTATACAGGTAAAGTTTCCAACTGATATTTTGGGGAAACACAGTTCAATCTATAGCACCTTCCAACTGTTTCTAGAGATGTCAGAAATGTCTGTTGTGTGGAAAGATTCATATTTGTAAAAGCTGATAACTGGTAACAAAAAACTCCTGGTTTTGGGGTGCTCTGGGGTCTGGATCACACCTGGGGTTGTACTGACCGCCCCTGGGGGCACATGGACCAACAGAGCCCAGGGCAAAGCTCCAGGTACCTGGTGGATTTCGTGCCAGCCATTCTCGTCTCTGCAGCACACCGTGGCATGTTCATGCAGTAGCAGCTCACAGCAGTAAGGGTCCCCTCCGACGATGGCAGTGTGGTAAAGCGGGGTCAGGCCATAGCTGTCCTTGTAATCAGGTGACGCCCCAAGTTCTAAAAGTGTCTAGAGAAGAAAGAAAGGTTATTGCTATCTGTGGTGGATCTGACTGCATCCCAAAAAACAAGTGTTGAAATCCTAACCCCAAACACCCTTCAAGCCTGGAATGGAACCCAGCCCCAGGGATCAACTTACAGGCCAACAACAGACAGGTCTGTAAAGTGACCACCACCACCCAGCAGGAACATGCTCCTCAGAACAATCAGCCATAGGCAACCCAAAGGGCAGACTTTGCTCAGAAAGGTAGGAAGGAGCAGGAACGAGGAGCAAGGAGAAATGGGGAGCCCCGGGAAGCCGTGGGAAGAGCGCTGTTACACCGAGAGGACTGTACCCAATGTCATAAAACAAAATGTGTATAAACTGTTGATTGCAAAACCACAGTGCTCTGTAAACTTTCATGGAGTCCTGGTGTGCCGCTGGGGGTTAATGCGCCAGACTGCAATGCCATTTGAACTGCAAGGTTGGCGGTTCAAGCTCAGGGTTGCTATGGGTCGGAATCGACTCAACGGCACTTGACAACAACAACAACAATAAAAAAAATTACCAAAAACAAAGAAAATCTTAATAGGCGTGCCGATAATTGTGATCATTGTAATGATGCATGATGCTTAGAAATTAAGCTTTTATGTTATGTTAATGAGTTCATTTTTGTTGTTGGCCAAGTACCGTGTGGACTGTTCATCCTCACAGTGACCCAAGGAGCCATCGGTGGGTTTGAATCACCAACTGTGTGGTTAGCAACCCGAGTTGAATCAGACTCACTGCAGCCCTCTTGGGGCTCTCTGAGATCATGAATCTCCAGGGGAGCACACGCCCTCATCTTCCTTCTGCGGAGCAGCTGAAGGGTTGGACCCAAGGGCCATATAGTCAGCAGCCCAGTATCTAAGCCATGGTGTCACCACGGATCCTTCTACCAGAGTGTTGTTGTTGTTGTTGTAGTTGTTGTTCGATGCCGTACAGTTGACTCTGACTCAGGGCAACCAACCCCGTGCACAAGAGAATGAAACACCACCTGGTCCTGTGCCATTCTCACTCTTGTTGCCACACTTGAGCCCATTGCTGCTGCCACTGTGCCAATCCATCTCGTTAACGGTCTTCCTCTTTTTCGCTGCCCTTGTATTTTACCAAAGCATGATGTCCTTCTCCACAAACTGGTCCGTCCTGATACTATATCCAAAGTATGAGAGATGCAGTGTTACCATCCTGGCTTCTAAGGAGCACTCTGATTGCATTTCTTCCAACATTTGTTTGTTGGTTTGTCGTACTGTGGAGGCTTGCGTGTTGCTGTGATTCTGGAAGCTTTGCAAACGGTATTTTGAATGCCAGCAGGGAACATCCATGGCGGACAGGTTTCAGCTGAGCTTCCGGACTAAGACAGACTAGGAAGAGGGAGACACGGACGACTTCTGAATGTTTATCCACTGAAAACCTCATGAATAGCAGTGGAACCGAGTCAGCACCAGAATACTGAATACTGAAACATGACGAAGAGCACCAGAATAGGGTCCGATAGACTGCCGGAAGATGAGTCCTGGAGATTGGAAGTCGACTGGGGAAGAGCTGCCTCCTCAAAGTACAGTTGACGGTGATGACACAAATGAAGTAAAGCCCTCAGGCCCTTCATTTGATGTGGCACGACTCAAAATAAGGAGACACAGCTACAAACATCCATTAATAATTGTAACATGAAATGTACGAAGTATGAATCTAAGAAAACTGGAAGTTGTCAAAATGAAATGGAACCCATAAAGGTTGGTATCCTATGCATTGTTCTTGTTAAGTGCCATCAAGTCAATTCCAACTCACAGATACCCTGTACAGGGTTTCCAAGGAGAGGCTGGTGAGCTTGAACCGCCAGCGTTGGAATTCAGCTCATTAACCCATAGCACCACACCAGGAAGTGAGCTGAAACGGACTGGCATTCACCATTTTGAATCTGACAATCACATGGTTTACTATGTAGGAATGACAAATTGAATAGAAATGGCATCACATTCATCATCAAAAAGAGCATATCAGGATCTACTTTGAAGTACAACACTGTCTGTGATAGGATAGTATCCATCTATCTACAAGGGAGACTGGGTTGTTGTTGTTGTTAAGTGCCGTCGAGTCGGTTCCGACCCATAGCGACCCTGTACAGGGTTTCCGAGGGTGTAAATCCTTACGGGAGTAGAAAGCCTTATCTTTCTCCCGCGGAGCGGCTGGTAGTTTCGAACCGCTGACCTTAAGGTTCGCAGCCCGATTCGTAACCACTAAGCTACCAGAGCTCCTTACAAGGGAGACTGGGTAATACCACTATTATTCAAATGTACGCACCAACCCCTAAAGCCAGTGAGGATGAAATAGAAGAATTCTACCATCTTCTTCAGTCTGAAATTCATTAAACATGCAATCAAGATGTATTGATCATTACCGGTGATAGGAATGCAAAGGTTGGAAATAAAGAGAAAGGAAAATAAAGAGGAAAATATGGCCTTGGTGATAGAAATGATGCTGGAGATCACAGGATAGATTTTGCAAGACCAATGACTTCTACCAGAATTGTTACTGTTAAGTATTTTTGAGTTCGTTCTGACTCACAGCGACCCTGTGTAGGGTTTCCAAGGAGCGGCCGGTGACTTAAACTATTAATAATTTTACGATTCAAACCAACCTTGTGGTCCAGTGCATTATTCCACAGCGCCACACCAGAATGTTGTTATCGCTGTTAAGTGCTGTGAAGTCAGTTCCAACTCATAGCGACCCTGTATAGGGTTTCTAAGGAGCAGCTGGTGAGCTTGAACAGCCAAACTTGTGGTTCAAACCCACCTTGCAGCCCAGCGGATTAACACTAATGATAGCTTTTGAGTTATCTCTGAGAAGACAAGACATAGAAACACACACGGGGGTGAGGACAGACAAGCATGGCCGATGCATCTCGGCCATTCTGGGAAGCTGAATCAGATGAGGAAAGGTCTCCCCATGGAGCCACGCTCTGAACTTGGACTTCCAGCCCCTTGAACTCACCCTTCAGCAAGCCAGAGCTGACCCAAACCCTGGGATCCCCCTGCTCTTTCAGTGCTCTTTCGGGCCAGAAATAAGAGGGTCTCGGTGGCACTTAACAACAACAACAAATGCTATGAGGTACGTGTCAAGCTGCTAACCACAAGGTTAACAGTTCAAACCCACTCCATCCACGACTCGTCTGCCAGTCTGTTGTTCTGTGGTGGTTTGCATGTGGCTGTGATTCTGGAAGCTATGCCACAGGTATTTTAAGTACCAGCTGGGTCACCCACGGTGGACAGGTTTCAGTGAAGCTCCCAGACTAAGACAGACAAGGAAGAAGGAGAGGGTTCCGTCCAAATATTTAGTCACTGGGAAACTCATGAATAGCAGAGAAACACTGTCAGTGAGCACCAGCTAATTGAACATTGAAACATGAAGACGAGGACCAGACTACTGGAAGACCCCTAACGAGATGGCTTGGCACAGTGGCAGCAGTAATGGGCTTTAGCATGGTACTGATTGGGAGATTGGTGTAGGACTGGGCAGTGTTTCATTGTGTGATGCATACAGTTGCTTGCTATGAGTCGGTTCCAACAACAGCCACTCTATGGGTGAAAGATGAAGCTATCTGCTCCGGGACAGATCTACAGTCTCTGAAACCTTACATAGGGTTTCTATGAGTCAGAATCATGGGAACTTTAGACAAGGAGCCCTGGTGGTTCGGTGGGTTAAGTGTTGGGCTACTAACCACGGGGTCAGTGATTGGAACCCACCAGTTCGTGTGTAAGAGAAAGATGAGGCTGTCTGCTCCCTTAAAGACTGACAGTTTCAGGCATGTGAAGGAGCAGTTCTACCCTGTGCTGTGGGGTCGCTATGACTCCACATCAACTCAGGGGCAGTGCGTTTGGAGTTTTAGGGTAACTTTAGACAGGCACCAATGGTTAACACAAAGGCTGCTAAACAACACTAGCAGTTCAACATCCGTAGAGGCACCTCAAAAAACAACCTGGTGATGTATTTTGAGAACCAACTGCTGATAAACCCATGGGGCATGTTCTCCTCTGACAGTCTGCTTTGTTTTAATTTCAGACATTGACATTTCTTGGCCGGAAATAACAAATGGTGTCATGGGCAGGATTAGCAGGGGTGTTCCACAGACACGTCCCTGTGACATTCTGACTTCTCATGGCCGCATGATACATATCATACCAGGGACACAGTCCTGGAACCCAACAACACCAAGGCCGACATTTAAATGGATGAAGGAAGCAGAGGTTTGAGATCTACGTGCACCCTAAAAAGTCATCACAAGGTTCGTTTGACACCCTGACACCTTTCTTGAAAAATCAAATACCCATACATGGGGGCTTCAAAAAGTTCATGGAAAATTTCCATTATCTCTTCATTCCATTCTTCCATTAACTTTTTGAAGCACTCTAGAAGAAAGGTCATCAGATCACTTTCTGAAAATGACAATCGACAACGTGAAATTGACATGAAGTTGAGAAACCCATGACTTCAGAAAGACGTCCTCATCTTTTAGGTCAACCTGCAGCTTCCCCAGAAGCCCAACAGAGCATGGGCTTGGGGCATTCACCATTAATCGAAGATAATCCATAAATACTCTCCCTACAGGACAAGAGGCCCTGTATACTTGCCACCAATGTTCACAGCCAGATGAGCCACAAGAGCCAAAAGGTGGTGACAACCCAAGTCTCCATCAATACAGAATACACAAAATGTGGACCACCCATACAGGGGACTATGACTCAGACATCAAGGGAAAAGAAACTGCTATATGGCACAACACGGAAGAACTTTGAAAACACGCTCTTGAGTAAAATAAGGCTGACACAGACAGACATTGCATGGCCCCACGTATGTAAATATCTTCCTATTGTTCTTAGGTGTCATCGAGTCAGTACTGACTTACAGTGACCTTATGCACAACAGAATGAAACACTGCCCGGTCCTGGGCCAACCTCACAATTGTTGCCACACTTGAGCCCACTGATGCT